GGTGAGTGTATATATATATACATTATTTGGTAATAATTAATAATAATTTGAAATATATTTCATTACCAGAACAAATAGATACCGTGTCAAAAGAGGGAAGACATAAGTCATAATTTAATTGATTTTAAATGCTTGATGATTGGTGGAGTCATCAATATGTGGCTACGCACCATTTTCAGACCGGGTGGAGAAGCGGCTAGCTGGGTAGGCGGAGTTTACACTCGGCAGGCATCAGCTGCTCAGATCCGCGGACAGATGTGCAAATAAGCACTGACTGATGTGAAAGCAAAACAAAGTTGGGCCGATTCAAACATTATGAATAAAGTCAGTAAATCTGCTAATAATTTACAGACTTTGTGTTAACTCTTTGGGAATTTGTAGTGTTTTTATTCATGTCTCTGTTGCGCATTTCATTTGTCAGCTGTTGATGATATAATAAACTTAGAATGGGCAGACAGCTTGTGTCTGATTTTCCAATTTAAGACGATGTCTCCTCCCGCTTGCAAACGATCCGTCCTCAACTTTGCCCAGGTCATTATCCGGGTGATGCAAATGGAACACACCCTGTGAGTTTGAGCCCGTGTTCCCAGCATGCACTGTGGCARTAAACCTAGCTAACAGAGGAGGAGAGTCTTCGCTCATCAAACTACACCAAAACTCTGTGATATTTAATACAGCGGTAAGTGCGGCTTTTATCTTGCTTCACTGTTTGCAGACTCTGTTTGTTTAGAAACTTTACATTCGATCGACATCGCAGTTGTCTCCGGATAGGATCGGACAGCTGCATCATCATCATCCTCGACCTGCTGCTCCGCTGTAGTCCAACTGCTCAGATTTAATTTATAGTAGTTTATTATAAGAGGAGAGTAGACAGCTAATACAACGAGAAAGTTCATCTTTAGCTAAGAAGTTTAGTAGTAGTAGTTTTGTTATATAGCTGAGTTTCATACGATACAATGTTTTTATTCCTTCAGCCATTTTTTTTTATAACTTCGCAGTTTAGTTTTAACAACTAGTCCGGTAACCTGAGATGTTAGCTTAGCACAGGTTCAATTGTTAGCTAGCAGGGTGGGCTCGAATGCTAACTTCCGGGTGTTTGTTAAAGGGCTCAGCGTCCCTCCTTGTGTATCATGTGTTGTAATCGTAAATTGTATTTCTGATACGACGATAAGTGATGCTGTTAAGCAGCAGGAAGCTCTGACTCTGGAGCTCATCCTGACGGGATGGAGGTTCTGAAGAACCCTCCTCTTGTCCTGTGTGGTACATATGATCCAAAGGTCTCTGCAGGTCCCACTTCCGGCCAAGTGGCGGCCATTTTGAGGGACCATCACACTTGAACACTACAAGATTCATATCAGGAATTTTTTCCATTATATAAATACAGTTGTTTATAAATAGTTGTGATTGTTTTTGATCACCTTCCGCCTTGGGCAGAAATCCTAGGCGGTCAGGCTTTTCAGCACCACTACAATTTGGAAAAACTAAAAGATTTTTTTTTCTCAGTCTCAACTTAAATTATTTTATCCTTGTGTAGATGACAACAGTAATATAAGGGATCTTTAATTAATGGGATACATACAGCGGATAAAATAAGTATTGAACATGTCAACATTTTTCTCAGTAAAAATATTACTAGAGGTGCTAATG